CACCACTAAAACCACCACCACCACCACCACCACCATCATCTACTACTACTACTACTACTATTACTACTACTACTACTACTACTACTACTACTGCTACTACTACTGCTACTACTACTACTACTACGACAATGACAAGTACATGTAGTCATGTTACGAGCTTTCGGATTTGATGAGCGTGCCCCAAGTCTCGAAATTGCCCATATGGCCGACATGTGGGCATGCACATCACATACAGCAACCACAAATTAACTTGGCAACTCCGATCCCTTAGCGCTTTCCACTATGGACGAGGAACATCACATACCCCTATCAATTCCAGTCATCTAGGCCCTGATTTCGTCGACCAAGAATTGATTCCGGGTTGAGATAGAAGCAATCTAAAATTGTATGTGCCTTCCTTGGCTTAAATACAGTGATAAGGAACCAATATTTTCAACAAGTGATTCAGAACTCTGCCATGCAGGTACATAGGATATATCATAACCACCGTGGGGTCCAAGCATATACTACCCTGAGCCCTAACCCTAACCCCTACGCCTTAAACGCTGTATACAACCGTACATGTGGGAATTTTGGAAATATTGCTCAACTAAGGCGGGTCTCTGCGCGTGCACGAAGCGAACAGCGTCCGCTACCTGCGCTGTTTCTCACTCAGGATATCTTGCAGCGTTAGGCTCCCCAGAGTGTTTAGTTCCGTATAGGGTATGAAAGGTGGTTTTGGATTTGATCCAGACACAAAAGGACATTGGTCTTAGATGGTTGAAGAGCGGAGCTTGGATTTAACATGACAGCACCCGCGCAGAACCAGAAGCGTGGACTTTGCAGAACGTTGTCATTTTGGAAGGGAAATATAGGAAGTTCCGCGTTGGTTTGTCGGGGGGTTAGCAAAGAAGGCGAGTGAGGCACAGTTACAAGTACTTGTCACAATCACGGCTTAGTTGCTGAATTCCTGCCTGACCCTGCATCATGCAGTATATAATCCCAGTTTCCATTTCAGTTTCGATTTTCTTTTCCATTTGATTCTCCATTATTGGGGTAATATAACCCCAATATAACCCAATATTACCCCAATATTCTAAGGTTTGCTACCATGGTTCAGGGCCAGGCAGGCAATCAATCATGTAACCACTCTGGCCCATCATAAAAAAAAACACTCTGAAGGACACTCCGATGAAAGTAGAACATCCGACCACATAACAACAAGTAGTAGTTTCCAGCTTCTCTTCCATTCGCCCCATAATCCCTGTATTTCCCCCTATATTACCATATTACGCCTACAACCCTAAACCCTAAACCCATAAAGCCTAAACCATAAACCATTGCCTACACTTCCACTTTTGTAGGTATCCCCTAAATAACCCGAATAAGGTACATTATCCTTGCATTATCCCTATATATAACCCTATAGCACCCTATATAACCCTATATAACCCCAATATACTATAGTAGTTTCCATTTTCTTTTCCATTATCCCAAAAGCCTAAACCCTAAACCCCCCGCCTGGGAGAAGCACTCCAGGACCGCGGACTCCTCGAAGGGAGCACCAGACTTAGCGCGTTCCTTGCGTGCAGGCATCAGGGTGTCTCCCTAAGGGTTTAGGGTTGAAGGGCTTAGGGTTTGGGAGTTTAGGGTTTAGGGTCCAGGTCTACAAAGAATAGGGTTTTAGGGCCCACATACTATAACATTCATGGTAATTGGGCCCTAAAACCCTATTCTTTTGGGTCCCTGGATACTTGGGTTCTGATTTTTCGAACTATATGGGTCTAGGGACTAGCCCTAAGGGTCCAAGTACCAAATAGTCATATACTTACCCAAAACCTATACTGTCATTACTATTACCCAGAACCCAAACATGGACCCTTTGGGTAGGTGACTCAAGTTTTCTGCCCCAGACTCAGGATCTAGGGGTTAGGGTTTCGGCTCGGAGCTTCTTAGGCTTCAAGGCGAAGGATCAGGGTTTAGGGTTT